TAATTTATGCTTCTGTTTTGTCTTTAGTGGTTATTGCTGCCATGCCTAAATTCTAGCTAATACTGTTGAAGTTGGCAGCAATTCAATCACTGGTGCTTCGTAGTAGTTCAATAATAAAGCTAGCTAACTTTCAAAGAAATTCCTTTTCCCCCATTTTCTACAAGTTCTCCCCCAGTTTTCCCTCTTGCAGCACCATAATTCTTTGGTGTACTCATTATTTATGGGAGCTATGTGTGAAGATTTTGAAAATTTCATATTTCAATAAACATGCCTACTTCTGCTGGGCCTGCTTTTTTAGCCATGATATATATAGAAGGGAGCTGAGAGAAACCAGACCGGCAGAGATATACTGGGATGGAGTTTCAACAAGACAAAAAACTGGCCATAATTCAGGCATAGCTGAATCTGGGCATGTGATATTTAGAAATATCTCATTTCTCTCCTGAATTGAATTCTAGTAAGTACACACATTTAAATGATGGGTGTTTTAGGGAAAAATGATTACTCAAGTAAACAGTACAAGCATATTGTTAGTGAAAGGCTATGGAAAATGCAGTTCCTTATTTTAAGCTCTGTCTTCCACTGGCAAATAAAAGAATGAAAATACCACAATACTGAGTCAATTGCTCTGTATTATCAAAATGATACAAAATGTGGGTTAGAAGGTTGTTTTCAGGGCATAGTTCATTTAGAAAACAGCCAGAAGAAAAACCTCTGCAATAAATTTTGTGAGATTCCATCCGTTTGAACTGAGTATTTTCCCCTCCTAAAAATACATGAATACTGGTAAATTAAAGAGACATTCAGAGTTGACAAAAGAAAAAATAAAATCGGAAACTGCTGGAAAAACTGTCTGCAAAAATAAAAAATTCTGTCCATTGTAACAAGTTTTAGTTTGGCTAATCAATGATTGACACAGCTGCTGCTGAGTATGAAACATGAGATATTTTTTGGTAGCCACATTTACCCACTCAAGAGGCCTGAATTCATAGAGGCGTTTATATTCAGAGTAGGGTCTGTTATCCTTTAATTATGAAATAATGCTGGGAATAACATTTAATCTGTCAGTTTAATCATCCACGGTAATAAAGGCTTCAGAAAGGAATGTAAATGAATCTTGTGAAGCCAGGAGGAAGAATATATTGAGTATCCTAAGCAGACAGGTGCTGTGGAGAAAAAAAAAGGGAAAAGCACTCTGGGCAGGGATAATGAGCAGTTATTTGGCGGTAGCACTTCCTGCTCTGCTGCTATCGGACAGACAGCATCATTATTTTGGGGATTAGCGTTTTTCTTTCTTTCTGCAATGCTGACAGTTCTGCGTAAATCGTACTGGAAATGCTGTCCTCCTTTTATTTGTGCATTACGATTCAGAGTCCTGCTGTCATCGTGCTGCCAATCTGTGAAAAAAAAAATTATATATCTGAGACACTTAATTCTGAACTTTGCTGGAGAATGCATCAAATCCCTTGCCGACACTTTCATGCATAGCCACATTTGACAAGTTGTCTCTTTCATGTCTTTGTCATTTGTCAGACAGACAACAAAAAAAACAGAATCTTGGCCAAAAAAAGGTGTAAACACAAAGTTCGGGATTTTTTTTTGATCAGCCATGCTCGTGAGGCAGTGTGAGGTGATTGGAATTGAGCTCCATGGCAGAGAAGTATGATTGTGTTGTCAGCACTTTTTGGAAGTTGTATGGTTGGAAGCCAATGTGCAGTATGGGGGAGAAAATCTGAATTTGGAGTGTTTGAAAGTAAACTGCTAATAGAAAAACAACTTTCAGACCATTTTAGACTACTGTTATAGCTTCACATCTGTGTTTGCACATAGTAGTGGAAACCTAGACCTCCTTGTCACAGCAAGTATGTGTATGCATTCAAACTCACCAGATTATATGAAAGGCTTTTACGTTTGTTTTTTTGTCACTTTCTTACATTCTAAGAAAAAAACCAAACTCATCAGATACATTCTAATGGGACTGGGTAATGAGCCAATCAGCCTCCAACAGCTGAAGGTGAAGTAAATGCACATTTAAAATAGTCCATTCTAATTTTCACTCTGAACATGAAATGATGATGTTGTAACAGCATAGGCACACTATACCCTGATCATGTCATAGAGGACAGTGGAACACATGGCAGATGCAAAAGAAACCATGCTAACAATAACAATCTTGATATTACAGCAAAATAAATCTGTCTCATAGAAATGATATGAACATTTACTTTTATAAGGTAAAGGGTTCAGAATCCCAAAAATAAAACAGATGACTTGTGACTAAGCCAAGAGATTTCTGCTAGTTCAGCTGAATGTAATTGAAAGCAAAGTTACAGACTCCAGAATGGAAAACAGCATCCGAACCATAAATACTTTTGGTTTAGAACCATCACTTTTTCTCTCAGTTAATTGGGTTTAACTCATTAAGGGATGTAATTTTATTCAGTAAAGAAGGGTTTTTTCCTTTGTGCGGACCATGGTTCCATCCAAAATACCAAAATTATGACCATAATTTATGTGCTTAACAGACAACTTCATCCAGTGCAACTTAGATGGCTGAGAATTTTACATGTTATCCATTAATACTGCTGGATAATAATGCTGGATATTTACCAAAGCTATTCAGGTTAAGCACCTCACTAAAGGGACTGTGTTCCACAGGACATGTGAACATGCAACAATCTGGGTTTAAAACTTATTCCCTAACCACTATACTGTGCTGCCACCCAAAGCATGGCCCATGCAAACTCATTCAACTGCACAGTCACTGTCATCCAACCTTCACTTAAGCATTATTTTAGATTCCATCCACAATGACTCCACTCGTTGCAGTCTTTTAAAACCTCCTGAGCTGAAGGCACTGGAGAAATGCATTGACTACAGCAGGGTACATTTGTGATTATAGGTTAAGGTTTTATAAACCCCAAGTAGATTGAATTAGTGAATTGCTGAGTTGAACCAAATTATAGTGTTTTGCTATGGTGTTTGCAAAGACATTTGATTGGGTTAAATATGAGCCAATGATTAACAGATCATGGCACATCACCTATTCTGGGCCTTACTTTCCCATTACCAGGGTACATGCTAAAAAGGCTTACAAGAAGTGGGTTAATGACAAGGAATACCAAAATCTGAACCATCATCAAGCCGTACCACACACAAACATTTGACTGTGTCAGCTGAGGAGTGTGAAATGATAGTTAAATGTGTTTCAAGCAACTTACCGTACACTTGAAGAATCAAAGGCTAACTTTTGACTAACATAATTGGCTTGTTACAAGACTAAGTGAAAATGCTATTGTGACAACATGTACCTTCCAATACTCATTTCACAGTTTGCATTAATAAAGATCACAGCTCCTTTTCAAGTTCATTAGTAAAAATAATGATGTCGAGAAGCTGTGAACTGCACTTCCTCCATTGAGGTACTGGTAACAGAGACTGCCAAGAGCTGAAAAGCTGTTATGTGGCAAATTGCAAAAGCAAAAGTAAGGATCAAGGGAAAAATGGCAAAAAAACTGTTAATTAGCTAAAGGCAGAATTTGCTCAATAGCTCTGTCAGTCCGTACTTAGCTAGTTTTAGATAAAGTTAGCTAGCTATGAACAACCCAGCAAAACATTGCTGTTATAACTGACTCTTACCTAGCTAACCTAATAGTTAATGACAAAGAATGTATTCTCTAATAACTATAAATGCCTATATAAATACCTATATGCCTAAATACCTCTAATCTGTAATTTAGGAGGAACATAAAAAAATGGAGATGTGTATCAGGACACTGAGTTTAGTCTGCTTTCTTGAAGTTGTTGACATACTCTTCAGCTGACAATTTGAATGAACAATCCACATGTGCTTGGCACTGTCCCATTCCAATGACTATTCAGAAAGCCTACCACAATGTATGTATGCCATACTGTGACATCAGCTGCACTGCATCAGTTTAAAGCAGATTTACAAAAGCAACCACCTTGAGCTGTTAGTTTTGGTCTGGCCTTAGATGGACTGCCAGTAGTTTTACAATGAGAGCTTGTATGTCAAATGGTTTGGCATCTCCTGCAAACAGGAGGCAGCGCTATTTCACCACAACACCTTGAGTGGTTAATGGACCAATAAAACCCATTTAAGCAAAATGTGTGGAAGCTTCAACAGTTACCAGCTGACAATCAACAAAGACTCCTTGAAGGGGAGAAACTCATTTTACAATTACTCTCACTCACCATTACATGGTTAATTGCCTTTTTCCAGAGGAATTATTGGAAATTAAAATAATTTGTCTTTACAATCATTTAATATCTTGTACACGTCAAATATTAAGTCAATAGGGTCTGTGCAGGGATTTGAACCTGAAAATTTATGGTTACATACTGGTGTACATATCTATCAGATGGATGCTACCATGCAACTTAAAAAAATCTGCAAAGAACTGGTTTTATAAGATGTGCTAAATTGCTACTATATGAAAAAGGCTTGTTTTTTCCTCATGCTTAAGTAATGGTACATTTTAAATGACAAGTACTGTACACAAGCATGATTTATGACAATTCTGTGCCAGGTGCAGTCAGTACAGTAACTCCCCAACATCCACCCCCTATTTCATCATTACATCATTATTACCCCCATTCATCACAGGCCCAGCTGTTTAAACACCCTACACATGGAAGAATCAACAACACAGTCTTTTTAATAGGAGAACCGGCTTAAAACAAACTACCACATGTACCACTTAACAGAGATCGTGTATTAATATTCCATAGTATCCCCAGCTTGTTTTTGTACTCCTGTTTTGGTGTTAATTGGCTGTGAATGGTCAACCAGCCTCAAAGCATTCCCACTCTGTTTGAGGTAACTGATCTGTCAGCTGCATTCAGAAAATATTTAGAGGCTACCAACTTTGTACAGATGAAAAAAACCTTACTGTGACCAAGGATAGGGAGAGGTCAAGTAAAGCTGATGAACAAATAGGTTCATTGTATTTACTGAATGGTGGAGATGTTCTTGAAGAGAAGATGTAGCTCAGTGGTAGAGTGTGTGCTTTGCATGTATGAGGTCCTGGGTTCAATCCCCAATATCTCCAGTGATTCTTTTCAGGCTTGCTGCCCAAGTCTCACAACACACTGTGGGTGGCAGTGTGACATAGTGGTAAGGAACAAGGCATGTAACCAGAAGGTTGCTGGTTCAATTCCCTGCTGGGGCACTGCTGTTGTACCCTTGGGCAAGGTACTTAACCCACAATTGCTTCAGTGAAAATCCAGCTCTATAAATGGATACCATTGTAACCTATGCAAGTTTCTCTGGATAAGGGTGTCTGCTAAATAACAATAATGTAATGAATCAATTGTGAGTAAGAGGCAAAGAGGTCATCCACCAGATAACATAATAATGAGCATATCCCTTCATTTTGTTTCTCTAACCAAAACAAAAAAAATACAAAATTCGTTTTTAGAAACAAAACACTATAGGCATAAGGAGAAAGGAGACAGGAATGCTTTGAAGGTTTATTTTTAATGCTTTTTACATTAGTCTGCTGGCTGCAGTGCCACCAGCGCATCTGTTTCTGGCTATAAGACTGGTCATGGAAAATACCCTGGCAACAGTGGAGCCTTCCTCATACAACCACACAGCTGCAGGGATACCCATCCCCCAGCGTCCTCTCCTCTCCTCTCCCTCTCTCTCTGTAGACTTTGGCAATGGCCAGCCCTCTCCATTGTAGTTATGGCTCACAATTGATTTTTATAGCCCTTTTGGGGATGGTTTCGATTTTAAAGCTACAATCCCACCAAAGACTTATTGTCTGTCACTATGTCAGCCCCTCCACTTTGTAATCTGTTTTTTCCTATTGCGTGGGGGAATTTTTTTAACACATACTCTTCATTGTTGGGCATGAGGTTTGGTCTAGTCGCCACAGAGGGATTTCCAAATGTTGGTTACAGGTGACTGTGGTTATGGTGAAACTCTCCTTCCTGGAAGCCCCTGTTCTGCAAATGCAGGCGCTCCTGTGGAAAATGATTCTTTGGGCCACAATAAAGCATTTCAGTGGGGGCCAGTTGGAAAGTGAAATGACCTCAGTCTCCCCATGCTATGATTCCCCCCGAATTACACCGTTATTTTCCACTGTGTGTCCTTCTTGGCAGGCTGATCCATTTGTCAGAAGCATTTCAGGGATTATCAGGCGGGAAATTGAACACAAAAGTTCTACTCACGCTCTCTACTGCTTATGTTCTTCCGTATTATGGTTGTTATAGACTAACCAGATTTTATTTCAGGTTTTTTTTTTCAGAGAGGCACAGATCAGGTTTTTGTGCAATGCATTTGAGGTTCTAGTGAAGCTCCACTGGTCCATTGTCCAATATAGTCATATTCACAAGATACATTCTGTACAGAGCTCACTGCTAAATTGATATAATAATCAGTTTTATACAATCCACATGGCACGTAACCCACAAATTAACCAAAAAGCAGATCATTTTCAATGAACAGCCTGATATTGTAGTGTAGTGGCTATTCTGAGCTGACATTGTTTATGTCGTAATTCATTAATACACAAAATACTCAAAAAGGTACATCATTCATGTTAGTTTATATTAAAAGAAATATGAATTTGAACATAATGATTGCAGTCCCTTGCATTATGTTTATTCTTTTAGTGAGCTAACATTCTGTAAAAATGGAATGTGTGTCTCATTAACTGGCACAGTTCAACGTTTTAGTTGGCACATACCTCCTATGTAGTCCTTCATCTAGTCAACCCTAAAACAAAGGCAGTGACCAACGTTTTCCGGTAGACTGTCAGAATGTTTAAGATGACACATAGCCAAGTCAAGGCCGAAGTCAAGACCAAGATCTTTCCATATCGGAACCAATAAAATCTGAATGCAATAAGACCAAGAGTTGCACGGATAGCATTCTATTCTTCAGTAGCTGCCCCACATGAACCACCCTTAGTCATTAATTTTGGCCTAGATCCATAACTCTTCTTCAACCAGTCAATAATTCCATGGAAATAAGCTGCCACTGCTGGGAACTTTTGAACCCTCTGCTAACTTTGGCCTGCTCAGTGAGGAACACATGCGATCATGCACCAGTTAGCATAGCTCAGTGTGATGGATAACTTGTCAAAGAGTGGGTCACGCAAGGTAAGTGCAAAGGAGAAGCCATGGCTGACAGTTTATTCTTTCTGTAGTTTTAACAAGTCCAAGAGTTTTCGGACATTATAATTCTTTAAGTTTAATAGGGCCCTGAGTATCAAAGCTTTATTACGTTCTGTGAACACATAATGAATGCCAAAACACTTTCTGTGAAAAGCACTGAATATTGATTTACTCGAAACAGATGTCCTGAAGCTGAGGTACAACACACAAAAATAACTTTGAACTTTATTTTAAATTTATTTTTGGTTGTTGTTTCCTTACATTACAACCCAGAACAAAACGAAAATGTTTGCCAACTTGTGAGAACACCTGTTATAGTCTTGATCCGCTCTGTCTCAGGAAAGGAAGAATAACATCCCAAACTGTAATATTTCACTGAATGAAACGCTGAATAAAGGAAAAGCAGTGTGGCTCTGTACTTGTAAGCCGGCTGTAGGTTCAGATCTTAAGTGGAACACAGATGTAGTACTCTTGAGGAAAATATACCCAACTTTCTGTTAATGTACAGCTGTGTAAATGTATATGGTATGTAAAAATACTGTACGTAAGCTGTCTTGCCAGCTTAGCTAAATTGCCATTTATAAGGACATTGTCAGTTATTCATTTTGAGATGGTCTTATCCAGAGTGACTGACAATGCTATGGCAGAAGGATTCATGTTGTTCCTCTGTTGAGAAAATAATGTAATAAAGAAGGATCATGGAATTTACCCAAGCAACCCAGGGAAGCGTGCGTCACAGACATGCTACCCCCATATTTTTCATATTTTTCACTGTACAATATATGATTCCATAACCCTTTCACCTGCAATTATGTGTGTTGTCTTTTGCCCTTCTTTCAAATTACCTTCATGCGAACCATCAAGCCTCGTTTGCTTTGATCTACTGTAAAGGTAGCTTAGGTCGCTCCGTTCACTTTCACATTCCCCCGCTGACCCATTTTCCCTCAGCCGTTCGGTTCAGCAGAAAAGAAAAAAAAATATTTCAACATCTGCTTTTTATGACGGAGAATCCGCCTTTGACCGGCCACAAGTGTAATATAAAGCTGTTCCTCTCCTGTCTGCCACCTGCGTGTGAGCTACCTCAAACAAGCACCAACAGCTTGGAAGCAGCGCCTCGGGCGAGCCGGGCACTCCACTCCGAAAGCTCGCGGTCGTGTAAAGGGGAGAACGACGCCCACTCTTAATTACGTTTATTGGGATTCCGCGCTGCTTCGACGGCACACGCTCAACCGCGCGACAGCGGAGAAGAAGGTCCCTCGTCAGCAGTTCTTTACTGAGACGAATTCGGGCCCATTTCTGACAGTAAATCTAGCCATGGAAAGCCTTATACGCGTGCCATTGTGCGTATAAAAATAGAGGGTAGAAAAAAAGATTTGCTCGTGGAATGATTTCATTGACAGGAGTCTTCATCCCTGGCTAAGCTGTGGTGTGGTGAATGATGTTTTTTGCATCAAACATGTGGTGTTTAGCATTGGTTTATCATTAGGCTTTTAGTCACTAAATTTTACATTAACCTTTTACTTTCAGATTGGAAGTCGGAAAAAAGTGGAAATTCAGGGAGGTTAAGCAACAAAAGGCAGTGATTTACCACTCAGAGAGGTAGTTACAGTGGATTAGAGGACTCAAAATTAAAGCCTTCTTGTGCACTGCAGTGATTTTCATTCAGATCATTTAGGCTTTCACCTGTTTTCACTAGCTCGCTGTTGCAGTCATATATTATATATTTGTTCAGTGGATCCCCTGATGCAAGGGATTTACATAATTCATATTTTTACGTTATCCATTTATACAGCTGGATATTTACTGATGCAATTTGGTTAAGCACCTTACTCAAGGATACAGCAGCAGTGCCCCGCAAGGGAATCGAACCTGTGACCTTAAGTTACACGTAATGTCGTCTCATTTCTGTATGTTACTATTATCCATATCACCTAAAATATTTCAAGCATTTTTCTCTTCTTAATTATCTGACAAACATATGTTCTTCAACATGTGGCTTCTTCACTTTCATAACTTTGTCAGAAAAAAATACAGAAACATGAAATATATCTTGATTCATTAAAAAACCCCTAAAGCTATAAATGACCCCAAATAAACTCACTTCCACAGTAAGTACGGTATGTACTTTCTGCAGCCAAAGCAATTTTCTTTGCCCCTCAGATCTGCACCACTGAGCCTTCCCTTCATACACACTTCCCTCCAATGTTTCTCCTGCCCTCTCCTGAGACAATTATGTTAATATGGGAGTACAGTAATGGTGCTGTCAGCACTGCCTTTCATGCCAAAGGTGCAACTACAGCTGTTGATATTCTCAAATCTAACTACAGCCAAAGGGAGGGTTTTTTTTCCACACCGGACCCCCACAGATGTATATGCACTTACACTTCACTTAACAGCTCACAACGAAGTAGCAGCAATATGGTGAAAATATGGTGTCATAACATTGCGGTCAACCCCAGGGCGTGCGGTTCATTGCACAGAGACAAAGAGCAAAGAAACAACAACAGAGAACAGAGAAAAGAGAAATTAAAAGGTACCAACAGCTGGAAAGTGCTACCTTATTTTCTGATAACAGATTTTTTTGGTATAAACTACTTGTTTGCAATGACCACGTCAAAATGCTTTTTCAAAACCCTGGCAAGGTCGTGGTTAGGTCGGGGACTCCTCTCATTGTGTTGAAGATACCAAAATAAGATGTTTGCAGTCACCTTTTCTCCGAGACTTGATCAGCCAGCGTGTCGGTCCCTTGATTGGGCCTGCTGAGATACACCTCTTGAGACAGGAACACCAGCAGCAGCCCAGTGCACCGGCCAGGCCCATATGGCATCCTGTGAACTTTCAGAGATTAGATTTCAGAGTGTCTTCCAATTTTTTTTTTTATATCCTGAAGGGTCGGCCAACAAAAGATTTTGCTGACTCCTAGAAA